AATCTATTGCATTTTAATAAATTAATCAACAAATTCTTCAATCCAAATCTATTCTATTTTAATAAATTAATCAACAAATTCTCCAATCCAAATCTATTCCATTTTAATAAATTAATCAACAAAATCTCGAATCCCAATTTATTTTATTTTAATAAATCAATCAACAAATTCACGAATCTTAATCTTTTCCATTTTAATAAATTAATCAACAAAATCTCGAATCCCAATCTATTCCATTTTAATAAATTAATTAACAAAATCTCGAATCCCAATTTATTTTATTTTAATAAATCAATCAACAAATTCTCGAATCTTAATCTTTTCCATTTTAATAAATTAATCAACAAAATCTGGAATCCCAATCTATTTTATTTTAATAAACTAATCAACAAAATCTCGAATCCCAATCTATTCCATTTTAATAAATTAATCAACAAAATCTGGAATCCCAATCTATTTTATTTTAATAAACTAATCAACAAAATCTCGAATCCCAATCTATTCCATTTTAATAAATTAATCAACAATTTAATGTATTCCATTTTAATAAATTAATCAACAAATTCTCGAATCTTAATGTATTCCATTTTAATAAATTAACCAACAAATTCTCCAATCGAAATCAAATCCATTTCAACGAAGTAACGAATTCCGAAATTCGGATTTTCCAAAAATTCGTGTTTATCCCTCTTCCGCACAACCCTATTTATATCCGTGGACAAATAGCCGTGGAAAATGATTTGGTTTGCGAAAAAACACAGGAAGAGAAGAGTGGCAGTAAAATTTTCATAAAAGGCAAAGCTTTCAGTTGTTTGTCTGGCTACACGGTTGCTGAATCGTTTTCATAAAGGTCAAATAACGTTAGAAGAGGAAATACTACTGTGAGTTAGAGGCAATGCCTCGGGCGATACGACGATTTTAAATTACCGACGTTAAGTGACGCTGAAACAGTCCTCTAAGAATGTAAAGAACTTCTTAAATATCCCGATCTCTGTACCTCTTATGGCTCTTTACGCGAAAACAAGTCCTGCAGGTTACGCCGTACTTGTGCTGATATTGCTCAATACGGATATCTATAAATAGCATCTTCTTCACCGGGTTCATTTTGGTAAAAATGCGAGACCTTAAACTTGCCGCATCCGCTTCCACGTTTTTCATCGTTCGCCAGAGAGAAAAAAGAGTCAACCTCGTCCACGAGTTCTCCAACAGTGATCGTATCGAACGCAGATTATCTCCGATCTTTTCGTCTTCGATCATTGAAATTCACAGACCTTCCACTGTTACGCTATGTTTCGTGCTTCAGAACCATCGATTATTCCGTTTGCATATAAATAACCGCTTTATATGGTAAATGGAGAAGTACGCTGCAGTAAACAAATAATGTTTTACCATTACCACCCACGAATGACAATGAGACACACGGTAGAATTTTCGCAATACGAAAAGAACAGAGTATTCGTAACGTTTAGAATTTTCGCAACGCGAGAAACAATGAGAAATGTTCTCCAAAAACGTTATACATAGCGCGAAAATGATAATATAAAATGGTATAAGGTAAATCGCGCTAAGCAAGCAGTCTTATGTCGAACAAGTACCATTGCGTAAGTAAAGTGAACTGTAATTAAACAAAATAACATAATCCAACGAAAAAAAAACGGAAGAAATATTCAATTGCGAAAAAAGCGTGGTAGATACGAAAAACAATGCCAAATAACGACCAATATTTCGCAATAATAAAAATGCCTACCATGTTATTAAAAAACAATTATAGTAACATAAATAACATCAAACGACCCTAATTCATATTGAAAGAAGAAAGAAAAAACCGGTAAAGCGATAATGATAATAAAAAAGAGAAAAATAGTTAATGGCACTAAATAGCGAAAAAAGAAAAGGGAAAAAATTGCAGCCAATATAAGAAATGTCGTAATTACAATATCGAATAATAAAAAAATAGATACAAGTAATGAAAATGGCTTGAATGGAGGAATAATGTGACGAAATCAAAATAATCGAAATAATCGAAATAATCGAAATAATCGAAATAATCGAAATAAGTCCTGATGAAATGGGAAATAGCATTAACGAAGAGGAAGAAGAAGGAAAATATGACCGTGAGGGCAAATATTACGAAACAATAAACAAAATATTACAGCAACAATAGTGACCAACGGTGGTTTAAAATTTGCTGCGTTTCAGCCATTAAAACATCGGGTAAACAAGAATATTTCACGTACAAGTTATTAGTCAGAGCGTGCTTGTTATCGTAATCATCCAATAACTCAAGTCAGCCAACAATTTGCATTAAAAGTTTCCTCGTGCAAAAATGATTTTTCTCGGGTGGAAAAGATGCGTCATCAGAATTTCTATTATCATAAATCGTTAAGATTATTATATATTTCCCTTTGTTGTAGAAAAATTTCCGACAATCCGCGAGAACAGGTGAATCCTGACAGGCTGTTCACGGCAGACGCACGACATGTAGGATAACGCTTCGTGGAAGATTATTTTTAGCCAGCAGATCTTTGAATTTCCCTGTTTACAAAGGCAATTTAATCGGTGACTATCTTCGGCATTGTACGCGATATTACGAAGGCTTTTCAAACAGCCGGTGAATTATACGCCCATTAATAGTTCCGAGCTCCTTGAAAGTTCCCGCTAATACGCGCGCTAATATCGATATTTGCGATCGTTATTAAAAGGATGAAAACGTCACTTTCGCAGAAAAGTAGCGATGTCGCCGAGAAAGCCGACCGATCAATCATTGTTGCTTGAAAAAAGGCAACATCGACTTCGCTACAGTATCTTACCGTGAAATCATAAATAACTTGTTAGATTAATTATCTAATTTATTTCCTAGTTTTTCTTCTCGGAAACTAAATTAGAGTCGATGCATTTTCCTTCTGTAAAAACAATCGAATAGGCAATCATCGACTATTTCTCAATCTGTTTATTTCGCTTCTTGGAAAAATATCGATGAAGCTGGAATAAAAATGATCGTTCTTTTCCAATCTTCCGAACATTTCGGAGAAAATTACGAAATTTTTCCATTTTTACAATTCGTCGACCTGATTCGTCGAAATATACGAAATTAAACAAGTGAAATAACAAAATCGGTTAGTACAAATTTATCGATACAGCTGTCTAATATTTTATTAGCGTCGGTTTAAACTGGCTGCAAGCAGAGGACAATTAAATCGGGAATCGTCGATTGTTCTTCGATGTTCATCTTGCTTGAAAAAACATCCACAGCTATGAAACTAAAATCTCCCGTTTTCTTTTCCTTCTTTTTTCTTTTTTTTTTTCAATTCTTAAAACATTTGGGAGCAAATTACGGAACGTCGCCATTCTTATAATTCGTCGATCCAGTTGGCGATTATAATTGGTCGAAAAATTTGAAATCGAGGAGACGAAACGGTAAAATCGGTTGGAAGTTTTCTGAATAATTACAGTCGCACTTTTTACTTAATTTCCATCATTGAGAATCGTATATCGACCTCATATAGCGACCTCTATCGGTTTTTTAACTATTTTTTCAACTCCTCTGGATCAATATTAGCTTCACGTGCAGTCGTAGTAGATTGTAAAATCCACGTTACGTGCGAGCAAAGAAAAGTACTCTGTCTCAATGACTTACGTTTCTCGCACGTTGTAACGATAATAGCTCGTCATAGCCAGTATCTTCGTACGAAACGGAATTCGAGAAAATCAAAAATGTCACGTAGCGATATTTCACGGAATGATAACTTCCTCGCGTTCCAAATTTTACGAGATGATTTCAAACGTAATAATATTTACATATGTATCAACTTTGAAACCTGTAAATCAGGATTTCTCGATATTTTTACGCGTAACATTCGGCTCACGTAAGCTTCACACGAATAATTGCAATGGCCAATCAATTTCCATTCACTTAAATAGGATATAGTTAAAACGCGATTAAAAAGGTATTATACGTTACCTTAACACAACGTGAACATAAACGACGGTACTTTTCAAATTGTCGAGAGAAGAAATGATCGAAAAAATTATAAAAATACATTGACTATATATATATTTCTTATCACCTAAGCAGGACATAATTAAAACGACATAAAATATATACATATATAATTATGTCTAGTGTATCATATGCTACCCTCGTCAAATACCCTAATGGACATATTTAAAATTGCAAGAAAAAGAAATGGACAAAAAATGGATAAAAAGTGACAAAAAAGTACGAATTATTCAATTTACAGTCACGTGAATACGGTATAGTTAAAACGTTATAGTTGTTTAAAAGGTGCATAGGTACATTTAGTGCAATGTATATTATTCTCGTTAAATACACTTATACATATTTTCAAAATCGTAGAGGAAAGAAATGAACAAAAATGGTTAAATATATAAATGGTTACTATATGGACTATTGAAAATATATATAGTTATATTTAATTTTTATTTTATGCTATCCTCGTAAAATACACTTGTGACCATTTTTAAAATTGCGAGTGAAAGAAATAGACAAAAACGACCAAAATGTATGGACCATTCGATTTAAAGTCACTTAAATACGATACAGTTAAAACGTTATTTAAAGGATACATAGTTACGTTTAGTGTATCGTAGAGATGTTTCTAAAATCAAGGAAAATGGACAAAAAAATGATCAAAAAATGTCGACAAATAAATTTCCGCTTATTTACGTCGAGTATAATTAAAACGCGTTTAAAAATATACGCGGTTATGTCTAATATGTTATATTTTATATATCTAACCCTCTTCGAGTAAGAGTATAAATATAAAAAAAAAAAAAGAAAAAATTGCGAAGAGAAAGAAAGGGAGAAAAAGTGACGAAAAGGTGCATGGGCGATAGAAATCGGCGTTTCGTAACGTCTCGAACCGTGATCGGGTCGAATGTCAGACGCGTAAAAGATCGTTTGACAAAGTAGCGAAGTGAGATTTTGAGAAGACAGCGACTGAATAATTGCCGCATCCGAAAGATAAACGTGCACTGACCTGTAGAGGTTCCGCGACCTGTGCAAACGGTGGTCGGTCCACGATGCTCGGTGACACTAGTTTCTGGTTTAGGCAGAGAAGGGCAGCCGGCCGGAGGAATCTTCATGGGACGTTCACTATCATCGTGAGTCTTGAACTAGACTGTGCACAGGCACCGAAGAACTCGTTCCTTTCCCTCTTCCTTTTCTTTCAGTCCAGCTCAAGCTGGAGGCGGAGGGACACCCGAAGGTTGCCCTCGGCTTTAACGAAACCAAAATGGTTAGCATATCGCGGCATCATAAATCGAATCGTCTTCATTCGTGCACCAGCATTCGAGGACTGTACTAATAGATCGCATCGATGTCCGCAAATCGATCTATCAAGGCACACCCGACTATCGAACGTAATCGCAAAGAGCTTGCACGAGCTTTAATTCCATATGAATTTTCGATTATATCGACTTACGATTTATACGAATAATTCTCCTTTATTTCGCCGATATAAGAAGGAAATGAAACGAACGAGATATATAATAATACATTATTCAAGGTGCTTAACAACGTTTATGCGTATACGTACATACGTTTATATAATGCCGAGAGGAAAGCAGATAGTGGTGAATGGATACACGTTTTTCTTCGTACATGATGACGTTTCGCTATTTCTTTTAGATATACTCGGGCAATTTCCATCGAGTCTATACTATTAATGATGAAAAGTTGAATGAAATTTCAAGATAGAAAAAACCTTGCTGTATTCGATAATTGCATTGTGTGTACTGCGATAAATCTCAACGATAACGCGAACTTTAATGTTGTATCGCTTACATAAATACATTTGCTTACATAAATCTATACATTTATTTACCGCGCGCCTAGTGAAACTCGGTAAAACTCGAACATTTTCATAGGAATCGGGCGCGTTTCCATTACATCACAATTTACTTACTACTGCGACATTGCTCACACATGCGCGTATCGCGTGCGTATAGTACGTATATATACGAGTTTCAGCGTGATCGACTTTATCGTAAAATTCTCAACAGCAAACCTGCTACAACGGTTTTATTTGATTCTTACCGAAAATATTCAACAATTACGTACGAAATTTCGATCAAATCTGTATCTCGAACATGCTGCGCTCTTGTTGCAGGAGATATCAGGTAGATTCACTTAGCGGCTCGGTGCTAGATGCACTTGATTGTATGACCAGTAAACCATGCGAAATACACGGGTAAAAGCTACAGGGTGGGAGATTCCTCCTTCCAGGACCTGTACACACCACCGGTTCTCACCTTTATTCCAACCAACACCGAGCCAAGCTTGACCACCATGCGTTATAGCCGATATATACTGTATCCCAGTGGGCCAAGATATCGGCGAGAATCTTTCTTCTCTCTCCGTACAGATGTGCTTGCTTTTGTACATCTTCTTTTTACCAAAGTACGTTCTTTCATTCTGTTTTGCTGGCCATCTTCTTCTGCTCCGTCGGTATTGCTCCTTTTTTCCTCTCGGCTCCCTTCTTTACCACCACCTTAATCGTTATCCTGCAGGTTGCTTATCACTTTTTATTTGAAAATGCGCGCTGCTATTTTTAACCTGGGCATTCTTCTTCCTCGCGGTCTTGTTTCTTTCCGGCTCGTCTTTCTTCTTACCGAGAAGTCTGACGCTTCTCTCTTTCTTCGGGTAAATAAAAATACGACCCCAGTCGACATTCTAATATTTAAATCTTTTCCTTTTTCATATATTACTTTATTTTCTATTAACTATATTATGCAAATAATTTTGTCAATGAGAAAAAACTCTCTTTTACTTCGTATAAATATAAATTGTAAATTTAACAAATTGCAAATATTATTTTTTTTAAATATTCCGTATTCATTTCGATCTTTCTCATTTAGAACAAAATTATTTACATAATTATAATAATCGTTTACTTTTTCTTATGCGTACATATTTCCCGTTGTATACACCATAGACGTATATCGATGTATGCAAAGCTTATTAACACCTAAATGTAAAATCTGTTTTCGCTTGACATGTTCTTTGTAAAACGAAAGTTTTACATGTAACATATCGATTTTTGAACGAAACAAAATAAATATAAATGGATTCAAAACTGCGCTGTTCATTCATTCAGCGTATAATACGATGTAAAAAGGAATTAAAAATTCATAATAACAGTTATATTTATTGCTGATGCTAGTATAGCTGGAAGTAATTGAGCGGATTCAATATTAGCCTGGTCTGGTTAAGAATAGCTACGATGGGAATCCCGTTTGACCACCTTGCGTGCCAGTTGCTTACTGACTAAATTAGGGTGAATGTTCCGTTGTGCAAAATCGATCGTTATTATTTCTTTTATCAAATGAAAATATTAAATTATTTGATTTTGTTACGTCAATAGTTCTACCATCTACGCGAATGTGAAATGTAACCTAATCGAATAATAAAATAGCGATTATTAGATATTTCACTAGATTATTAGATGTATGTAATTATTTAATTCTCTTTTTCCGCGTATTTAATTTTTTATCCATTTTCAGTATAAAAATTGCCTGTAAAACAAAATATTTATATGTATACGAGTTATTTTGCAGAAATAATGACCCTATCATTACTATGCAAGGTTAAGGAACAAAAGGCTTTATAAGAGCTTGTTGGATATAACAGAAGTTGCTTTAAGTGAGCTATTAAATATTATATTATTATTCTTCATTAGAACTAATTTTTGTTATGAAATAAATGAACTAGGATGATAACTAATAAAACATTAATAGTTTTATTTAAGTAGTAAATATAAGAATAATTATTGATTAAAATAGACAAATTTTTTTAAGTATCTACATGTATGTATATTTGATTATGTATAATTAATTTAAAAATTTTAAATATAAAATTTTGAAATATCTTCATAATATAATTTAAGTTTGGCATTATTTTTTATTTTCAAATTTTTATCTATCGTAACAAGATAAAAAAATTAAAAAAAAATTATTTACAGTTTAATTTTATAATCTGTTTATAACATAATTAATTAATAGTTTCTAAAATGATTAATAGAATTGATTGCTTACTCTTTTAAATCGTGTATTCAATAAATTACATTTATATATTTTATAACATTTTTATTAATTTTTTAGTTATTATTTCATTATAAAAATGAATGCAACGATTAGCTGTCTTGGTATTATTTAATTTCCTAAAAATTGTTAACAAATATATATTAATTCTACATGTCAGTCTGTATATAAATTTGTTACAAATATATAGTTGCTTATAAAAATAAATACAGCTTTGTATTTTATATTAGTCTTGTAACTGTTATATTTGTATAAACTAGTTTTCATCAAATTTGATATTATTACAATATAACATTATAATATTTATTGTTTAGTAACATACACATTTTGGCTGCACACATATTCATTATACAAAAATATATGTATCGAATACATATTTAATACTTGTCAAGGTGTAATAATTATTCATAAGTGTAAACAATATTTTTTTATAATAAATTAATTCGTTTTGTTCTAAAACTGTAAATAATTTTTTACACAATATTAGGTAAACCATGGCAAAAGTAAACACGAAATATCTGTGTATAAATAAAGAAATTCAAAATTTTACAAACAATTCTATGAACACATCAAAATATAAATTTTCGTATTTTTTAAACTTTACTCCTTGCGATCATAATAAAAAAACTATATATAATGTTTTATCTATTGAAATTGTGTTAAATTTAAAAAAGTTATTAGAAATTTCATCTTTTAGAGTTATTATTAGTCTCACTCTTTGTTATCAACTTACTGTACGGTATTAAATGTATATATACATGCATATTTACAAATAAATATTTTAAATAATATTACGATTTGTTGAAAATCAATATGTAAGTTCAATATATAGGGATATATGTGTTCCACAATAATATTAAATATATTTAATATAAAACTTACATTGTTACTAATGTATTTCTGATAAAATAAGAGTCAAGTTATTTTTATTTGTTATATAATTAAAATTACACGATTCGTAAACTTTGTTATTACACTACACATTTTATAAATACCATTGTATTAATTCGTTTCGTAATTGAGTATAAAGCATTGAAAGTACACTCAAAGATGTTATTTGTGCTTAGAACACTCTTT